ATTGTTTTATGACATTGGTTAACAACCCCATGACATGTCAGTACTCTCCTCGACCTTGGGTTCCCTATTACCAGCTTTCCTGTCCCCTCCTGCCTTCTAGTCCTTGCCCCTGGGCTGGTTTGCCCCTTTAGTCTCATTTTGTCCTATGGGTCTGTCTGATCTTTGGCTAAAAGGTGAACCTCCAGAGTGACTTCATTACTAGGCTAAAAGGATGTCCGGGGGCCATACTCTTGGGTTTTCTCCAGTCTCTGTCAGGCCAGTAAGTCTGGTCTTTTTTTGAGTTAGAATTTTGTTCTACATTTTTCTCCAGCCCTGTCCGGGACCCTTTATTGTGATCCCTGTCAGAGCAGTCAGTGGTGGTAGCCAGGCACCATCTAGTTGTACTGGATTCAAGTCTGGTGGAGGCTGTGGTAGTTGTGGTCTATTAGTCCTTTGGGTTAATCTTTCCCTTGTGTCTTCAGTTTTCCTCATTTTCCCTTGCTCCTGAAGGGGTGAGACCGGTGGAGTATCTTAGATGGCTGCTCACAGGCTTTTGAGACCCCAGATGCTAAACCCTAGTTTCTTTGAAAGGCTATTATGAGGTTAAGAAAGTGCCTTACACAGGGCCTGGCACGTGGTAGGTGCCACATAAGTAAGTATTCCTTCTCTCTCCCCTTCTCATGATGAATTGATTTACCTTGAAGTCTCTTGAGCTACCACCTTCTCATTTTCCAACCCTTGCCCTGTAGTCCTGTGGCAAGACATGAGGCAAGAGACAAACTAACTGGCTTGAATGACTTGCTGGTGATTGATTGGGAGGGTCTGTGTCTATTGCAGATGATCAGTGCAGAAGCCCCTGTGCTCTTTGCCAAGGCGGCCCAGATTTTTATCACAGAGTTGACTCTTCGAGCCTGGATTCACACAGAGGATAACAAGCGCCGAACTCTACAGGTAACACTGCAGCCCCTACGTGGGGGGACCTGGGACAAGAAGCTACCTTTACCTGCTCCTCTTGTGTGGCTTTGGGCTAAAGATTGTTCTTCCTTAGCTGATGTGTAATTGGCATCTTTCTCTCCCTTTGGGAGGCTGACATACCTTATAGCCATGGTAATAAAGTCTCCACTACAAATCTTAGTTTCCATTGCTCTCATGGTTTCCACAGCTCAGTGACTGAACTCTTCACTTGGTGAGCCCTCACTGTAAACAGAGGCACAAGTGATAGAGCATTTATCTGTTCCCAGATATAAACAACTTCTGATTGGGAGCCTTGGGTGATACCAGGAAAGGACGACCCCAGGAAAAGTTAGCAGCTCACGTCACCTGAAAATGGTCATCCAAGTCTCACTAACTTCATTAGCCTTTTTATTCCTTGTCTGCCTTCCTGGGGATCCTTTTTTTCTTTTTATTTTAATTCATCAACTCAGTATTCACAGTGTATGAAGAATCCTTGGTTATTGCCTCTGGAAGCCCTGCCCTCAGCAGTCAGCGCCAACTCTTGGGGAGGAAAGTTTCCCCTGACATTAGAGGAAGGATGTGACAAACACAAGACAGTGAAAGTATTTTAACAACAAAGCCAAGAAATTAATTATGTTTTCTCCTCTTGTTTTCCTGTATCTTCAAAATTGAAAATGCATGTGTTTATTCATTTATACTACAAATATTTATTGAACACCCATGATGTTCCAGACACTGTTCTAGGCTTTGGGGATTTGACAATGCACAAAACAGACAGAAATCCCTACCTTTGGGGAAGTTGACATTTTTGTGCAGCTAGATATTGTGAACTTGTTTTGTGCTGCTTTGAAGTAAAGGAAGTCTGTGGATCCAGAGAAATCCAATTAAAGCCACCTTCAAGATCAATTCAGATTAAAAAATAAAATGAGCAAAACACTTGAACAGGCCCTTCAAAGAAGATATCCAGATGATCAATAAGCATATGAAAAATTTCTCAATATTATTAGTCATCTGGGACATACAAATTAAAACCACTGTGAAATACCAGTTTACACCCACTAGAATGACTAAAATAAAAGAGACTTACAAGACCAAGTGTCAGCAAGGAAGTGGAGCAGCTGAAGCTCATATTCTGCTGGTCAGGATGGAAGATAGTACAGTCACTTTGGAAAACTGTTTGGTGTTTTCTAATAAAATCAAACATATCCCTACTCTGTGACCCAACCATTCCACTCCTAGGTGTGTATCTAAAAGAAATGTGGCCATTCCGTATAAGAATGTTCCTAGCAACCTTATTTATAATAGCCAAAACCTGGAAACAATACAAGTGTCCATCATTAGGGGAATATATAAACAAATTCTGATATATTCATAAAATGGATTACTACTCAGAAATAAAAAGGAACGAACTATTGATCCACACAACAACATGAATGAATCTCAAAAACTATTATGTTAAGCAAAATAAAAGAAGAAAATTGCGTAGTCTATGGTTACATCCACTATCACTATCTATGGTGATGGAAATCAGAGTCCTGGTTGCCTCAGATTGGGGGTGTATTGACTAGAAAGGAACTTTTGATATTCTTACCTGGGTGATAGCTGCCTAGGTGCATTACATTTATCAAAATTCATTGAGCTGCATATTTAAGATTTTTTCATTTTACTGTATATAAGTAATAATTCAAAAGTTATTAGCATTTTAAAAAGGCAAAATAAAAATTTTAAAAAGACTGATTCAAGCATATTTGTGTTTTCCAAATATTGTAGAACATTTTGATAGATGTTTAGAAGTTTATTATTCACCTCCCCCACCCCGCTTCATTCCGTCCATAGATGAGCCTTCAGATAGCTTATATTTGAGTAGGTGACATCATCAAAAATGTGACACTGTTATCGTACTTATCTAAAATGAGTACTGGCAGCCTTAAGATGTGCCCTGCTTCAGTTTGGAGGGTTTATTGTCAAGCTGGTGGTTGGCAAGAGGGGTGGTTTGGAGTTTTGCGTTTCAGTGGCTTGGGGCCATCACAGAGACAAGGGAAGGAAAAAACAGAAAATTTCCATCCCCTCCTATTTTGCCTCATGGGTCACCTTCTCTTAAGGTGTAGTACATAGAAGTTGCTAAGGATTTCTATTGGTGTGCTGACTTTTTCCTCCCAACATCTTATGAAAAATTTCAAACGTGAGCAGAGTTGAATTTTACAGTGAAACCTGTATGCTACCACTTAGATTTTACCATTAACATTTTACTGTATTTGTTTTATCCTCATATTTATCTATCCCCCATTTATCTGTTAATTCATTTATTTTTTTTATGCCTTTCAAAGTTAAATTGTACACTTTTCTCTAAATACTTCAGTATTCACTAGATTTCAATGTTTTTTCATTTTTCTCTTTTGATTTAAAATTTTCATACAGTGAAAACACAGATCTTAAGTATACAGTGTGTTTTTTTTTTTTTTTTTTTATTCTTCAGGTGAAGGTTTACAGAACAAATGATTTCTCATGAAACAGTAGTACACATATTGTTTTATGACATTGGTTAACAACCCTACGACATGTCAACCCTCTCCCTTCTTGACCTTTTTTTTTTTTTTGGCGAAAAGATACATAGCCAAAGATAATGTTGGTTTGTAATAAGAAATCTCTTAATTTTACTATTCAAAGAAAGGGAGTGTCACACTTGGAGAGAAACAACCCCACTGGAGCAGGCCTTGGTTTCAGTGTCATTAGTCAGCTGACCCCTGTGTTCTTTACCCACCCCATCTCTATTCCAGTAGCTTGAGACTTCACATATTCATATCACATTAAACCAGATTTAAACCATAGATTTAATTGAGGTTTTGAATTCTAAAATAAAAACTTTAGCCTTGTGGGAACTAACATGAGATCCAGTGACTAGAAAATGTTACAAAGAATTATTGAATTAGAATTTCAGCTAAGAGATTCAAAATAGATTACAATTACTCGTGAACCAAAGAGAGTAAATACTATTGAGGACCTAAAGAGGTTATAAGGCTCAGTGACAGCCTAACTTTGCTCAGCCACGGAATGACCAGAAACTTGGAGGATGCTAATTGAACAATTGTGGGGAGCACCTTAAGGCAGGATCAAGGAGGCAGTAGTGGCTAGAGGCTTGAATACTCGAATGTGCGGTTCAGAGAGCACGAGCTACAGTCATCTCTTCTTTTTGTCGATGTCTCCCCACCCCACCCCGCCTGCCCCAAAAGGTCAGATCATTTGAAGTCTTTAAGAGTTTGGCTGTGTATGTTTGAGCTATGGACTTGACCATGAGTATTTAGTTTTGCTTAGAAATCTTATCTTGTAACTTGAAGAGTGTAAAGCCAGGTGAACTAGTTTCTCACCAGGCTAATTTTTCACTGCTTTTCTTTGTTACAGAGAAATGATATTGCCATGGCAATTACAAAATTCGATCAGTTTGACTTTCTCATCGATATTGTTCCAAGAGATGAACTGAAACCTCCAAAGCGTCAGGTGAGCTGGGAAGGCATTACTGTCCTGCTGACTGAAGAGCACTTGTATACTGGTGTCAGATGTGCTCCTTTTCCTCTCTCAGCACCAGCCATTTGCTATTCTGCTTGCTCCTCCTGCCCTAGACCAGATTCATCCTTAACATCTCCTTCTGTTACTCATTTATGGATACTTTTAACTCAATGCCTCTGAGGTGGTATTTCAGTGGAAATGAATAAAATGAAAATTAAAGGGACAAAATTAAATGAAAGACTTTATTTACAAATAGTAAGTAAAGCTCACTTCAAGGTGTCCTAGGAAATCTATCAGAGACATTAATCTGGAATGGGAGAACATTCCCAGCAAGTTATACATTTTAGAATTTTGAGAAACAGCTTCTCCGTGTGCACAGTGGTGCTTGGGGTGAATGGACTTTGGCTTTCCCTTACTCTGTATAGTGCCCTGACTGCACATTAGAATCACCTGTTGGGATTTGAAAACTGCCAGTGCCCAGGCTCCACCCCACATCAGCTGCATCTGAATCTATGAGGGTGAAACCCAGGCATCAGTAATTTTTAAAGCTCCCCAGATGATGTCTTTTTAATGTGCAACCAGAATTGAGAACCACCACTTAAACAGCTTTCTAAGTAATAACAAGAAAGAGTGGCGTGTCTGTTTTTCCCTCTTTTCTGCCTGCCCCTCTCCAGAGGTCACACTGATTGGTTTTTTCAGCACCTTGGGTGCACATAACTCTTATTTGCAGTTGCAGTTGTGATAGACCTCTATCCTGTTCAGTTCGTTGTTTAAGGCATGCGGATTGCATGACTAAGTGTACTAGAGACACTTGGAGAATAGTGACAGCGTCTGGCAGGAACAAAGCTGTGCTTGTACTGCTTGCTTTATTTCGTTAGTAAAATTTTAAGTGTTTTTTAATGAATTATTTCATAATACGTTATCCTTAGAAACACTCTTTCAGTGACAGCTTTCTCCCTATCTGTCCTGTATTAATAAAAAAGTATAGGAGAAGCGGGCATCCTAAAGGATATTTGTAATCCTGAACCTGCATGGGGACCATTGGATTAGCAAGCCCTCTGTTACCTCCTTACTAGAGCAGAGTGTGCCTCACTGCGTCTCCGTTCTTTCTGGGCAGTCTTTGCTACTGTAAACATCCTTGACTGGAAGCTGTAAGGTGTTCAGAGGAGCTTTCAGTCGGATGTTTACAGCGGCAGGCTGCCACGGTCGTCCCCGGCTGCGCATCGGCTTTGAGACATTTCAGGTTTGTGCCCACGGGCTTGATTCTTTCTCTTGGGGGCCTCCCTCCTCTCTGAGAAGTCACTACAAGAGCTCAGACCATTTTGCTTCCTTCAAAACAAATGATACCACCCACCTACTTTCCTTGTTTGGATTTGTTTCCTCCATGTGTCTTATCAGAAGCCCCCTTTAAGTGCAAGATGGTGAGCTCTATAACAGAATTAAGTCTTGTTCACTCTCACTGTACAAACTCCTGCTTGTTCTCTGTGGGCTGTCTGCTGAATAGACAGCCTGGAGAGAAGGGTCATGTCCTATCCCTTCGTCCAAAGTCCTCAGTGCTTCTGGCTCTCTTAGGGTGTTGGACACCCCCTTGTCCCATCCTAGCAGGATTCAAAATGCTATAGTCCATCTCCTTTTAAAGTGCGTCTAGCCAAAACAACTTCTTGCTGCCTGGGTTCAGTTCTTTGTAGGTGTCCAAGCCGTTGATTGGTGTCCTGTTCAGGACAGCTGCTGCCTGGCCTTTGAAAGGTTCAGATTGCTGAAAGCTAGCCTGAAATTCCAAGATAGCACTTTTAATCCTCTGTAGACATGAAGTTTTCCCCTGTTCCAAATTGGCTGGCACCTCCTGAAGTCCTTTAAAAGCGCCTACTCTCCAAAATGCACTGTTTCTGGAGGAGGCAGCAGTTCACTCTTGGTACTGCAGCAAATGCACTTTTCTTTCCCGTCTGGGGCTGGCTTCACAACACTGTAGTGACGGCCCTAGGACGTGATGCTCCTCATTCTCTGGGATTGTTTGTCAGCCTCAGCTTCTGAAAGGACAAGAGTAAGCCCTCTGGGTGGGGAGGCCACTGCTAAAGCTGGGTAGGTGCCCCGTTCTGGATTGATCCAGTCATTCTGGGATTGTTTTAGCACTTGGGGTGATGTCCCACGAGGAATGTGAGGCAAAGGAATTAGCCTGAAATATTGAGATGTGGGTCTAAGGCTCTTGATTTCTCAGAATGTGCTTGGGAATTTCTCTTGTTCTTCAAGGAAGTAAGTAAAGACTGTTCGAAAGCAGAAGATAGCTGAGGCCTGACTTGTGCCCCACTAAAGCTATGAGTTGAAAGTTCCTGCCCATTGAAATGTCATTGTCTCTTCACCCATTTCTTTAAATCAAGCATAATCATTCCCTCGCTAGCTTGACTCTCCATTGGCAGAATGATTCTTCATAATACAGAAGAACCTCAGACATGCATTGCATTTCAGTGATTTGAAAACCGTCTTGGTTTGTCCTAACATTGCAAATCTCTATTTGATACTCATACAGTGTCCTATATGGTAGCCCCCAAACACTGCTTAGTTCATAAACAGTCTAAGAGGGTACAGTGGGAAAACAGGAGAAGCTCTTTACAGGCTCTCACAGCTTTTGGCAGTAGCTTCTGGAAGGGGTATTTAAAGGGCTTGGTTTTTATCTGGCGAAAATGACCATATTCATTTCCAGATCAGCTGGAGTCAGGGATAACTGAGGAGAGAGCAATAACCGGTCAGGACTAGGAAATGCCAGTGTCACCCTGCTCCCTGACTTCCTGCAAGTTGACACTAGGACTCTCAGTCCTCTCTCCCTTCTCATCACCCGAGAGCTTTTCTGAGTTAGGTAAAGGCCGTAGTGATTGATGTTTTCTATAAAATAGGAGGGGAAGTCTCAGTGGGAAAATAAATACATTGAACTTATTTCAGCAGCTTTGAAAAGAGCAGTCGGCCTCTGCGTCTTGGTTAAGGAGGATATCAGTATTTTGTCCCTGCCTCATCCAAGATCTGGTTGACAGGCTGACCTTTTTTTATAATGGTGAGAAGGAGTTGACATTGTTACTGTTAAGTTGCTGTGGAAACCGAGACCTAGATGAAAATAAAAGGGGACCTCCTTTTTCCTCTGCCTCAGCATAATCACGTTCAGGCTTAAGACTGCTTGGGTCTGAAGCACCAGAATACATTAACCTAGAAAGCTGGTTCATGTTTGAAGACTTGCTTAGAAACCCAGAGTGTTGTAAGTGTCTTCCAAGGCAGAGTGGATGGCCATCAGGGAAGCCAGACTTCTTGGAGGCTGACTATCAGCGATCCCAGTGCTAGTGTCCTGGGCTCCCAGTCATAGGGCAAGCAAAAGAATGCCCAGCTCTGTTCTGCAGGGGACCTCAGCTTCTCCCTACGCTATGGCCACAGAATCCTAGAGGTAGCAAAAGAGTTTAGGGACTCTTTGCTATTGGTAACAACTATTGGGTTTAAGAGAATTTGTCATACTACTAACTCAGGTTCAAAAAAGTACTTTCTGCCTTCAGTAGTCTGCGGCCTATGTAAATCCATCCATCATTCAGCAGGCACTTACTGAGTACCTACAGGGGTATGGTAGCAAGAGAGCTACGTTTTGCCTTCATCGGGCTTCTGTTCTAGCAGGGAAGATGTTAGCTTGACAGGCAAGTGCAAAAAACGTGTAATGGACTACATACAGGTACTGTGGAAGCACAGATTGGGGCGCCTAACCTCTGGAGGGGCTGGGGTCAGTACCAACTTTGTAAATTCACTTTGAGGCAGCCCAGAGGATCTTTGTACCTTGAAGAAGTGTCTGTCCGTCTTTTCTGAAAGCATTGTTCTCCTTGGCAAACTTAGCCCAGAGTAAGGAAGAAATTTAGCTAATATTTTTATTCACCCAGCCCAACTGGTTGTATGTTTGTGTTGTTTTTATTGCCCTAGGCAGAGGCACCATGTGTCACAGGTCATTCTGGAGCAGACGCCGATCTCTGTGTCAGTGGACAGAGGCCGGCCAGCCGCAGACCCTCCAGGCTGTAACCATGCTGTAGTGTGTGTAAACATCCTACACTCTCAGCTGTGAGCTCAAGGTGGCTGGGAGAGGGCTGTTTACTCCTTCTACCATGGAAAACGTCAGCTGAAGAAAGAACAGTCTCTTCACCCAGCAGATCGGACACAATGTGACCTCCCTAGTCAGCCAAGGCAGCACCCTAGCAGAGAGCTGTCCATCAGGCCCCCGGGTTGCACATCTGTAGCTAAGTACAACCAGAACCAGATGTGACGCTGGGTAGACATAGCCTTCAGTGACCACAGAGCTTTTGACATGCTGTGAAAAGCTGGGCACTTGGCTACCAGTGCTCTTGATCCTGACATTTGATTCTGAAATTGCAACCTAGGAAAGCCTCTGTTTCCCTTTCCCCAACTCTGTCCTTCAAGAGGTGGAGGGAACGGAATAAGGAGAGCACTGCCTGTTCAGGAGATTGGGAGCAGGCCTGAGAGACGTAGTACTTGAGTAGCATCTTCCCAGCGCTTGCAATTAGCACTGTTCTCAGATCACAGGCCTTGATAGCACTTACTGACAAGCACTGCTGGTGCGTGGTTTTTAGTTACGGTAGTTGTTTGCCCGTTTGCAACTCATCAGGCAATGGGTGATTACTCTGTAGTTCAGAAAATCGGCTGTATCTTTTGTGAAGCCTATGGAATCTGTTCTTTTTAGTTTGATTTAGCACAACTGGTCTCTTCAAATTGTACTTTCCCTTGGCTTCAAATGTGGAGAGCTCAGCATTCAGCAGGGTACTGCACAAAGCCTGTTTGGGGGAAGAGTGGAAATTCACTGCAGTGACTGCTGAGTCAGTTGTTCTCCTCTTACCTGCCTCTCTTTCCACCCCACAGGAGGAGGTCCGCCAGTCTGTGACTCCTGCGGAGCCCGTCCAGTACTACTTCACGCTGGCTCAGCAGCCCACTGCCGTTCAAGTCCAGGGACAGCAGCAAGGCCAGCAGACCACCAGCTCCACAACCACCATTCAACCTGGGCAGATCATCATTGCACAGCCTCAGCAGGGCCAGGTCTGTGAGCTGCTGAGGATGCCCGTCCAGCAAGACAGCACTTAGGTTTGGGATGCAGAAAGCTAGAATATGGCAGAGAGGCAACCCAGTCATTATAGAGCCCTGGATTTGAAGTCTGGAAACCTGGGCTTTTCCTTAGGTTCAGCCACTGAGAGGAAGTATCACCCTCATCTCTCTGGTCCTCAGTTTCCTCATAAGTCAAGTAAGGAAAGTACTGTGGACAAGATGTTCTCCAGGATCATTACAAGCTCAGAATTTTTTGAAGGGGGTAAAATCTGGAATACCCCCATAAAGAGTACTGAGAATCCTGTTGAAGGCATTTTAAATGGATTCTTTGCCTGCTGTCTGTCTACCCTAAAATTGAAATGTGTGCACTTAAGAAGATCAGGCATCATCGCAAGCTTGCTTCCCTCTCTTCTTTCCCTCCCTCATTTCTCTACCCAATACTTATGTCAAGTGACTTGCTCTTTTTACAGTAGTAATCAGAAGATTGTTTCTCTTCCCAGTGGTATGGTTGTGAGAGCAGTAACATCCATGTCTGCTAGGGGTTGTGAGAGGCTTTAAAGAACTGTGTCCTCTGAGCTCTGAATCCAAACTCCTTGCCAGTCATTAATTTATTTATTCATCAAACAGATAATTACATCTTTTCTGGGTAAAACTCTTAAACATGAAAAAAACAGTCCCTGTTTTCAGGGAACTCACAATCTAGTGGGGGGAGACATACTTAAAGGTTATACCACCACATGAAAAATGTAAGATAGAATTGTGCACGGGGCATTATAGGAGCGCATCAAAAGGGGTACTTAACAAAGATGTGATGAAGGTGATAGAAGAGGATGTCAGGGAAGGTTCCTGAAGGGAATAATATGAGTCTTAAAAGGAGCAGTGGAAGTTAATTACATAAAGAAGGGGAGGCAGGCATCCCCAGTAGAAGACACAGCACAGTCAAGGCTTGGAGGTGAGGAACGGCACAGGGAGCGGTGGGAAGGTGTAGTCGGCATGGGGAACATCTAGGCAAGGCTGAGAAGGGAGGCAGAGACCATCCTGGACAGCCTTATGTGTGCTGGGAAGGAGCTGGGTTTGCCTAGAAGAAAAAAAAATGGGAAGAGGGGGTGATTTAAATATTAATTATGATTTAAGAATTTATTCTCTGCTCATTTGTCCATGTAACAAAAATTTATGGAATGCTTGCTGTATGCCAGATAACTGTGCTAGGCAGGAGGGGTTCAAAGATGATTCCAGCCCAGTCCCTGCCTCAAGGCATTCACTGCACTGTGATGCCTAAGGGACCTTCTTTGGCTAATATGTTGCCTCTGCAGTGGTGGGAGTTTCACCTGCCCAAAGGCTCTATCCCTCTACAGAGGGAACTTCAAGGGAGCCTGCCAAGGGCTGACTGATTGGCTGATCATCCTAAGAAGCTCATGGCCGCTGTGCCCCGACAGTACAGTACACCATAACGTGATTTGACAGCTGCCGTGCTAACAGAAGCCCTCATTTTCCTGAAATGATTTAGAGATACGTTGGAAATCCTCTTGTGAAATTTGGTTGATATAGTACAGTGATGAGTTAGCAGCGTGCATTTTTTTTTTTTTTTTAGTCAGCGAGAATTCCATCCATCCTATTCTTTGCCACCCAGACCTGCTCACCTTAGAGCTGAGAAGGTTTGTGAGGATGGTGAAATTCGTGCCCTCAGCATCTCCCAGCTGTTGTTTCACTATCCTACTGCTTCAGGGTGGCCTTGTGCCATGTCACGCCCTCCCTGAACCTATAGTACTAATTGGTATTTCAAGTTAAGTGCACATCCTTTGCAGAACAGAATACAGATTAAAGCAAAGTTGGTAAGAAAGCATATTTTAAAAAGTGAATTCTGTATTTTCTGTCATAAAATTGGAAACTTTTATCCTGGAGGTTTGGGGAATAAGCTGAATTGAAAATCATGGTATGAGAATGAAAGAGATGTTTCTTGTTGTCCTAGCCTACTGCAAGTATTTTTACTTAGATCTTTCTGTTGTCTTTCTTCCCCACCCTCCCCCAGTTTATACTTATTTCTCTTTACCTAGTTAATCCCTTGGATCCTTATCAGTAGTTCCCAGAACACATTCCCTTCCTTGTAATTTTAGATGCATAGTTTTAATGTCCAGTAGATCTATGCAACCAGAGTATAAGAACATCAGAGTAGCAACATCAATTGAAGCCCGTGGTCTGTTGAGACTCCCAGAGTCTTACTGAGGTGATTCTTAATTCAGAGTGGGGAGAGATTGTGTCCAGATGAGAGGGCTGGGAGTACAGGTGTAGTTTTAAAGCACCCGACCCCACCCCCCCATCCCCCCCCCCCCCCCCCCCCCAAAAAAAATAAAACCATCACCAGAGAGTCAGATGGACTGGGCTCACAGCTCTAGGTAGTCTGTAAAGGTCACATGTAGGGCTAAAGTTTTGAGCTTTGAAAGAATGACTGACCCTTTTGACATTTCCATCTCTCAGGGGAGCAGGTTTCGTAGGACTAGAATGCACTGATCTGAACGAGAGGCACAAAATCTGCCAAGTCACATATGTTAGGCTGAAATTCCTTAAAGCTGAGGTTCCTATTTCTATAGAGCTAAAGGTCTTGCTATATTAAATTTTATTAAATGGCCTCACTTAAGAGTCCAGATAGTCCAGTGTCCTATCAGTGTTTGCCTCTCCTGTGGGAAGAAGCTTCTGTGGTGCAGAGCAGCCATCTGGCCAGTGTGGGCAGGAGCCTCCCTGCCGCTTGAATAGGAGTGAAAGCCAGCGTGGGTGCACCAGGCTAGCCTTGGGAATGCACCAGGTGGTTTATTTTCCTTCCAGTGTCTTGCATGCCAAAGGAAGAAGTCCAGAACCCTCGCCTTAGTAGTAAATTCACATCGACCCCACTTTCTATTTAGTTTTGCCTTCCAGACTCACCTTCTCCAGACTTGACTTTGACCATTCCTCAAGCAAACCAGCATGGCTGCTTTCAATTCTTTTTGCACCATATAAGCCTTAACCATCATCAAAGGGGTTGTGAAAAGTTGCAATATTTAAAGCATGGAGATTTTATGTTTGGGGCCTAGGCAAATATTCTGTACTGTAAGCCTGAATATCTGTTGGGCTTTCCCATCTTTTATTTTGAAGAATAATTCTAGCAATGCTCTAAGCCTGAAGGACGATGGAGGTTAAGTGTTGTTATTAGTAAGTGTTGAGATGCGCTCAGGTGTTAATGGGAGGGGATTTGTTCCCAGTTAACTGCTCATTATTAACCCCTTGGTAATCCTGCTGCCTCTGAGCTCAGTCACCCTTTTCGTGATTCTTCCTTCCAGACCACACCCGTGACAATGCAGGTTGGAGAAGGTCAGCAGGTGCAGATCGTCCAAGCGCAGCCACAGGGCCAAACCCAGCAGGCCCAGAGTGGCACGGGGCAGACCATGCAGGTGATGCAGCAGATCATCACTAACACAGGAGAGATCCAGCAGATCCCGGTAAGTCTGTCCCAGAGGTCTGCACAGCGCTGTTCTCAATTTTGTAACAGGAAATGCTTGCAGATTATATATACAGAGTTTTTTTTCCTTCCTTTCTCCCTCCCTCCTTCCCTTCCAATCTGTATTCCGATTACCTCCAGACCACAGCTTGCTTCATTATGTTTACTCCCAGCTTTCCTTTAATCCGGGCTCACCGCTATGGGGCAGCTCGTCTCGATTTCCCCTCAGTCCACCTATGCAGAGCAACCACTATCTCATGCCAAGGCCCAAAGGTCCTGTGAGGCAGTCCTGCCTTTTGATTAGTGGAGAGTACGAGGGAGGTGTATAGGGAAGGCCATAAATACACTTGTTGCATATTCATGAGTCAGTTCCCAGTGGAGCCTGCAGTAAAGTGTATTTTTGGCTTTCATTTAACTTCTCCGTTCCTTCACTGTGGACTGCTGCTTCCCGTGTGCCTGGAGGGATTTCATTTCTTAGATTTGTTGGCTTTTTTACTTGTATTCTTTTGTGAAAATGTCCTTGCAGCCTGTACATTGGTCACCTTGCCACCAAAAAATGTGGAAAGTGAGTAACATGAGCAGTCCTTCTGTTTCCTGCCCCCTGCGCCTCTTCCTTTTGTAAATGAAACGTAGGCAGGTATAGAAGCTCACTTGGACTTGGTTTACCACTTCCTGTTTGAAAAAAGCTTGAAAAGCACCCTCAGCCCTGTTTTAGGAACTGTTCTGCTTATTGACATGTAATAGGCCAATAGAAGGTGCTCTCTCTCCTTCCCTCTCTTTCTCTCTCTCACCGCCTTGCCTCATTGTTTCAGCTGCCAAACATCTCTCTCTTGAATGGTTCTTATTTTTGCATATGAAGGCACCAAGACAAGTTCATTTATGCCAGAGAAGCATTCCCATGTTGCAGTGACTTTAACGCAAGTATTTTAACCCTTTGGTGCACAGAGCTTTGGTCCAGAAAATGTGCTGCAGAATTCATGACCTCGTCTTCACTGGTCTCGGACACATTCTGCAGGAGTCTGTTTCTGGGCTCTTCAGGCAGCTCATCAGAGTGCTCTAATGGTGATGACCTTCAGGAAGGAAACTGCTTCTTTTTTGAAAGCCCGAGGAGTGGCTTATTTACTCTGTAATTAACAGGAAAATGCTGTGAGGATCCCCAGACCTAGCCTTATGGGAGAGAACTGAGGGTCAGAGCATCTTAACCTAAGCCTAAAATAAGAGATTCTTGTTTCTGTCTAAGAATGGCTTGTAATCATTGTACTCACAGTTTTTCAGTCACGTATGGGTTTCTGCAAAGAGCTTCTCTTCCCAGCTAGAAAATTTAAAATCCCTGTTGCTCTCAGTACACTTAACCCCACTCCTGGGACGAGCCTTCAGTCTTTCATTCTGTGATCCTTGGCTGGAGTTCTGGTGACTCCTGGGACCAGCCACCAACACTTAAGGTAGATGAGGTTTCCCAAGCCTATGCCCAGCTGCCTTCATCCCCACAAGAAATGTAACATTGTTGCCTGGAAGCCACATTATGGGATTTAGGTGGGGAATTTAGACTTGGCACCACAACCTGTCAGCAGCTGCTCTTGGCATATTCTCAGGAAAGAAATGACTGCAGGTCACAGTACTCTTGCCCTGTCTCCTTGGAACTGGATTCTTAACAAGTTTAGATTCCCCCCAACCCCCCCACCCCCAGTCTTGGCTCAAACTGACAATTCTGGGATCATCTACCAGGAACTTCAGAGTTAGTCCTTTCTTGGTGGTTCAAATCCTCTTTGAGGCTGGATGCTTCAGAGAAGCAGTTTGCTTTAACATGCAGGAGTGCAGCTTCATCCCGTCAGCATTTTCCTCTGGAAAGTAAAATTCACTGCCATGAAGTTTGTTCTTGAAGGCAAGGGGAAGTTTTGCTCCATGGCAAAGAGGCAAGACCTCGCCTGTCAGCCTCAAGAAGCTTCCCCTACGGCAAAGGCAGGCTGGGCAGGCAGATAGACCAAATCTGCCTGTGCTCCCAGAGCCTCTTTTCACCCCCCAGTCCTGGGTGTGGGTGTCCGTAGCCCTCCTCTGCTGGCCACAGTTCCTCTCACATTGTAACCGCCTGGGCCTCTTCTCATCCCCAGGCTGGGAGCACTGATACTTTTGTGGTACACTGGAGCGTTAAGAGCCTGAGTTAAGGCTTTTAGCACACAATTAAATGCAGCATGTGGTATTATTGTATTACCTGAGAATCGTAAGCGTAAGGGACTCTAAGGTCATTTTTTGTTGCTTTGGTTTCCCATGATGGGGTTTTCTGTGAAAGGCTTATTGATTCAGCCTCCCCTTGGGAGATGTTTGGCCAGAAGCTAGTGCTGAACACCAAGGATTCTAAAAGTCCCATAGACCCCCGTTGGTCCTGGCCCTTGGGGACAGCGATAGTAAAGCAGGCCAGCCTTTTCCTCCAAGATAGACTGCATGGGGATGAGCAGTACGAGGGTGGTGCAGGGTGATGGCAGGCTGCTTTGGGTTCCTGGTGCACACTGGAGCTCTACACAGAATTGGATCAGTCAGCCCTGGAAATGGAGTGGACAAGTATGGAGATGGAGGGGAAAGAGGCCCACTCTTAAGGTGCAAGCATCCCGAGGAGGTCAGTCTTTGGGATAAATTCCTAAGACAAGTTGTGATCAAACAGCAAAGAGCCAGTGAATGATGAGGCTGTTCTCACGTAGGTGACAAGATCCTCTTGTAATTTGTTCCATGGTCTATCCAGGGAACATATTCTCTTTTGGGTTGTGTGGCTTGTGGGGTGGGATGTTGTGATTTTGCTTGTTTTGACCTCTGTTAAAAAAAGACATTTTTTTCAGGGTGGGCTTCTTTGGAGGGCTTGGGGGGGGTGCAACCAGCATCTCTAGCATGGAAACTTTGCCTGTTGGAAGTTGTACTCAGTCTCCTGTGGTCTGTTTGTCTCTGCCCCGTGCCCCCAGGTGCAGCTGAATGCCGGCCAGCTGCAGTATATTCGCTTAGCCCAGCCTGTATCAGGCACCCAAGTCGTGCAGGGACAGATCCAGACACTTGCCACCAATGCCCAACAGGTATGTGCCCCAGAGATGCAGGGCTTGAGTTGGAGACCAGCAGGAGCTGGCTTCTGTCTGGAAAGGGTACTCAGCCTACAACTCTCTCACCACCTCATCCTTCAGCAAGGGCTATCTCCACATCCTTCACATGTGTTCTGCACCCCAAGGGACACGTCGGGGTAATTGGAGGATTGGATTCAAATTGTGTCTCTTACCATCCTGTTCTCAAGGGGCAAAGAAATGCAAGGCAGGGGAAACCTTGAGGATAGTTGAAGAAAGCCTGATGTGTGTTGTGTTGACATGTTGTAGGAAGCATTTTGACAGGCTGGCTGGTTGTCAGGCCACGTTTCCGTCTTTAAACCTGAATAGCTTTTGTGTCCTGGCACCTCCTGTGTCCTTTGGAAAGCTTAGATTTTATCCCCTTCCTCGTCATGTGTCCTGACCAGAGTAATTGGCCCTCTCATTTCTCATGCCGTACGATATTCAAGGCTGTGAGTCACAGATGCTGAGGGCTGTCTCCCTGGGCTTGAGGGGGCAGGGGGCGAGGGCATCATTTGTAGGGGGTGGGGGATGCTGGTCAAGGGGAGGCATTGTTAATGGATTCTTTTGCCTCAGACCCAAAAAAAGCAGCGATCGTTTAAGAGCTGGACCTGTCTGGCCCAGTTGCATTTTTGGTGATGTATCTATTGACAGTGGTGACAGAGCTGAGTTTGTAGAGCAGGTCTCCAAAGATCTCATTTGGGAAAATGTGAGGAATGAGCCAAAAGCAAGGCTTCTGAGTTTCATATAGTCTCTGGGATCATTAAAAAGTCCTTTTCAAACCCACTCCCTGGCTTGCCTAAGGACTTGGACTTTTCCATAATTTCCTTTGGGCTCACCAACACTGATCTCAGATCACAAGACTAAGCACACCCTTGTGTACATCGCCCCCCCCCCCCTTTTTTTTTTTATCTTATAAGATTCTTCTCTGGGATCTAAAAACCTTTTATGGCACGGGTATGGGGAAGGAATGAGAAGGGAAGAATTCTTGGTTCTCCAGAGGTCAGTTTTGGGAACAGAAAATAAAACCAAAAAGTGGGGAGAGTTGAGTGTACAGAGAGGAAAGGGAGAAGCAAGAAGGAGGCACCTGAGGGCAGTTAAAGTCTCCATAAGAACAGGTTGTACCCTGAGAGTATGGCCCCCTTTAGCTCTTTTAGCTCAGTACTGAAGCCACTCCTGAGGTTCACCTTTCAGCCAAAGATTAGACAGTCCCATAAAACAAAACAAGACTAGAGGGGCCCACCGGCCCAGGGGCAAGGACTAGAAGGCAAGAGGGAACAGGAAAGCTGGTAATAGGGAACCCAAGGTCGAGAAGGGGAGAGTGTTGACATGTCGTGGTGTAGGTAATCAGTGTTACAAAACAATACGTGTACTAACTGTTCAATGAGAAGCTAATTCTATAAACCTTCACCTAAAGTAAATAAAAAAAAAAAAAAAAGATCAGGTTGTAATTGTAACAACCTGGCATATACTAGATGCTCAACAAATGTTTGTTGAATGAATGCTGAAAAAGAATCGTCTATAAATAGAATTTAAAGGTAAGTGAAACTTTCTTCTCAGCTGATGTGAATGGCAATCCTGATGGCCACAGGGCAGTTAACCTTCTTATCTGTGAGGAATATTTTCTACTTGTCTCAGGCTCATTCATTTATTCTGCAGACATTTCTTGAATGCTTACTTTGCACCAGCAATATAAAGACAAAACTTAGCTTCTGCCTTGGCATCTTTACACTAGTGGAAAGAGAAAGACTTAAAACAAGGAACAATTGTAAAGAAACATCATGAAACCCTTTCATACCCTTCCCCTTTCTTGCTCCTCATAGCATCATGGGCAGGCCTGACAGGGATTGTTTTTTGGCCATCGTGAGGACACTTGAGAGGACAGCCCTTACTTTGCAGGTTGGCTGGGATGATTCCAGGACATGGCACAAAGAGGACATTGCTAGTCACATGTTCCATAGATAGACATTTGCACACTCCGGTCCTCTTTCCCGCCTACCAAGTTGTCCCCAGCAGTTGTGGTTATATGCTGCAGTTCTACATGTCAGTAAATTTATTTTAAAATCCGTTTAAATAAAACCCCACATAAGATTTTAAGTATGTATGATAAACATCTTCCTCACTTCACGCCCGCCCCTCCCCTTGCTCCGGGGCCCCTATCCTCCTCCCTTCCCTTGGCCCAGAGGGCTGCACGTGGTTTCTCGGAAAAAGTACTTCATAGGTTTGCCACCAGGGCTGCCAGGGCCAAGGCCGTCGGCTTGCCAGGGTGTTTCATATTCCAGTCAGATAATCTGGGTGATAGGGGTTTGGTTTGGAGCCCCCCTTCCAAGAATGAAAGGGACCACTCACCACTTTGCTCAGTATTTGCAGACTGCCTTCACTGACTGAAAGACGGGCCTTTAGGGCTCCTGTCTAAACCATGTCAGGTCAGCATGTAGGAGCTAGGTTTTTGGTTTGACTTGAGCCTCCAGCCCCAGGAAGACCTTGGGGTGAGTGGGTAGATGGGTAGAGGAGTAGGTAGACATTAAGATATGGGTGTGGAAGTTGTATATTATGTCCTCCAGGGGCCTCTGTGTGCCTGTGTGGTGCCAACTCTTTGGCTAGCCCTCAGTGCTAGAGATGGGGAGGGACTCTTGCTTTCCTACTACCATATTTTTATGCAAATAACACGTGTCTTCTGTGTTTGCCAGCCGAGCCCTCCCCCCTGCCAAGGTGTTTTCGTAAGTGCCAGTATGCCAATTTTTTTACGTTTGTGTAAATAAAATTAGCATAGAGGGCTTTTGAAAATACCTCACGTAGTGGGGCTAGCAGGAGGGGAGGGTGCGGCTGGCAAACAAATGCAGAAGGTGCAGGTTATTTGTGTAAAAATATGGTACTCATTGAACACTTGCGTGCCAGGCCTCATTCTGGGCATTTGATATGCATTGTTTTATTTGACACTTTGTAACAGTCTTTGGGTGGTGGGCTGATGGGTGGATGAACCAGGCCCTGCAGTTGACATGCCTACTCTGTCATCTTGATTCCTACAGATCACACAGACAGAGGTCCAGCAAGGACAGCAACAGTTCAGCCAGTTCACAGATGGACAGGTAGGGCACTCAGCCTGGGCAGGGTAGAGGGGAAGGCATTGCGGGAGGGACGGTATCTGGATTTGGATGGTTAGGACAACTATTCTGTCCTTTAGTAGCAATGAATGGACAGAAATTGTTAAAAACAAGTACAATCTTTGAATCAGGTTACCTGTCCTTTAGATTTATAGACTTGTGGGAGCTGAAAATAATCTTAGACATTACATAGCCCAAATCTCCATTTTACAGATGAGTAAACTGAGCCCCAGAGGTGGGTGTGCCTTGCCCAAGCTCACTCATGTGTTCATTGCAGAGCCAGGACTAAATGAAGGTCTCCTGTTTCCCTCTCTAGGACTGTTTTTTCCTCTAAGCCATGCTGCTTGTTAATAGCATGGATTAGTTGAAATGTAGGGAACATGTGACCTCTGGAACTCCCTCAGTGCCTGGAATTCAGTAACTGTAAACCCACACAAGGAAGGAATCTTCCCTTTTCCCTCCCCCTTTCTCCTCACGCTGAGGTCCCAGAGACTCTGGGGACATGACAGGATGACATGCCCAAGCAGCGGAGAGGAGCCAGCATCAGCACCCCCCCTGGCGTCTGCCAGCACCAGGTGCCAGGCTCCTATGGCCAAGGCTCCTATGGGGCTTTTAACTTTTGGTTTCTTTTGGAGGCGTCTGAGAAACCAAGTGGCCAGTTGGCCCTAGCCTTCCTAAGTGGCTGTGTGAGCATCTTCTCCATTCCTCACGGGTCTTGGCTATAGTAAGTGTTTAGTCCCAGGCTACCTCCTCACCAGGGCCCATGCAGGAAATGCAGGTTCACCTTAGCCTCAGCCTGAGCCAGATGTTCTGAGGAAAGGAGGAGAGGGATAATCCTGCCAGTGACGATTACCAAGAGTTGGGGAAATGCTGACTTCCAAGCTGCTGGTACAGTGGTTCGAATTGCTTGTGTTTGTCACAGAGGAACAGCGTGCAGCAAGCTCCAGGCTCTGAGCTAACGGGAGAGGCAGAGCCCAGAGAAGTGAAAGCCACAGGAAATTCAACTCCCTGCACCTCTTCCCTGCCCACCACACACACACCCTCACACCGGGCTGGTGCCTCCTGTGTCTGCTGCTCCCAGCCCCAGCAGAGCTCCACACCCCCTCCTCCCTCTGACGCCTTGCAATGGGTGGTGGTTGAGGTATCTGGGGCCCCCAACCAACTCGAGGCCCATAGGGAGCTGCATGCCCCTCTCCCAGGGGTGACCTCACTCTCTCCTCTCCACCCCTCGCAGCAGCTCTACCAGATCCAGCAAGTCACCATGCCTGCGGGCCAGGACCTCGCCCAGCCCATGTTCATCCAGTCAGCCAACCAGCCCTCCGACGGGCAGGCCCCCCAGGTGACCGGCGACTGAGGGCCTGAGCTGGCAAGGCCAAGGACACCCAACACAATTTTTGCCATACAGCCCCGGGCGATGGGCACAGCCTCCCTCCCCAGAGGACCCGGCCGACCTCAGCGCCTCCTGCAGGCTAGGACACTGGTGCACTACGCCCCACGCCTGGGGGCTGGGATTCTCCAACAGAAAGATGCAATATTTTTTATTTCCTTTTTTTCCATTTTTTTCCCCAAGGAGTCAGTATTTCAGTATGTTGAGCTGTGTGTCCAATGCTATGAAATGAAAATATTAAATAACGTATTTATGGCATTGTCTTGAAGAGTGTGGTTGAAGAAATATTTCTTCTTTGGGTTTTATTTTTTTGGTTCTCACCGCCACTTCCCTTTAGGAGCACATCTCCCCAGGGGTGTACGTCACCATCTCCTGACTCTTGGAACCTGTTGCCCCCAGGATTTGCCACCTTGTTCTACCCTCAGATTAAATTAGGTGAATATGTATAGCTGCTTTTTCACTAGTGGTCATCTTCTCACCCCCTTGCTCTTGCCGCAGAGCTCTGTATATTTGCATCCAGAGGCCATGAAAACATTCCTTAAGTTCAGAAGGTGAATTCGTTCTCCATGGAGAGTGGATGGTTTCGTTCCCAAACGCTTCTCTCCCAGGGACCCAAGGAGACTAGAACTATGTGCATTTTGCCCATTTCTCCCTCCCCCACCCCCATTTTATTTTTTAAATGCATTAAAAATTGTGCTAGTCTCCTTTGTTGCATGGACTTCAAACTGCATGAAATGCAATAAATCTCATTTTAGATAATGTAGAGTCTGGGTTTCTGTGTGTGGGAGCATTCACGGGGCCACTTTGCTTGGGAAAGGCTTAGAGTGGTTTGCTTGCCCTCAGGTTGGATGGCCGGAAAGGAGGGGGGCCTTGGTAAGGAGAGGGTGTCCAATACTGAGAGAACTTAAGCTGCATATCTGATTCAAACTGAGGTCTTCAGCTGATTGTAAAAATGAGCCTCATCAGAATCCACTTATTACTCAGAGGTGCTTTCCTGCCTTTTTATTGGATGACCACATGCATGTGCCAGACTCAGCTGTGTCCTGGCTTGGTTGATGGTCAGGACATCTCTCATGGAGAAGCTGGCTCCTGCCTACACATAAGGACCCAGGTAACCACCTCCTCCCTCCCTCTCCCCCCACCTCCCGTCCCCCGCTCGTGTCTGGCGCAGGCTGGCATGGCATGTGCCCTGGGGGGCAGCCCAAGCCCCTTGTCAGCTAGCAGATCAGAAGGGTTCTACAGCCAGTGTCTGCTGCTGGTGATGAAACAGGGAGAGTAGAAAGAGCATTCTGCCAGTCCATTGGCTGTAGAGGCCACTGATGAGCCATCTTTCTTACCTCCACTATGTCATCCTTACAATTAGAATAAACCCAAAAACAAACCCACTGCCAGTGAGTCAATTCTGACTCACAGTGACACTATAAGACAGGGTAGAACTGCCACATAAAGTTTCCAAGGCTGTAAATCTTTACAGAAACAGACTGCAGCGTCTTTCTCCTGTGGAGTGGCTGGTGGGTTCAAACTGCCAGCCTTTGGTTTAGCAGTCCAGCTGTTAACTACTACGCCACCGGAGCTCCTCAAAATTAGAATAAGGTCTATTATGGAAAGCAGTGAACTGGGTCCAGGTAACCTGAACCCGTTGCCGTTGAGTCGATTCCGACCCATAGTGACCCTATAGGTCAGAGTAGAACTGCCCCATAGGGTTTCCAGGGAACGGTGGTAGATTCGAACTACTGACCTTTTGGCTGTAGCTCTTAACCACTGCACCACCAGGGCTCCAGGTCCAGGAAAAGTCGATATTAATTCCTTCTCTGATGGTAATATACTGTAGAACCTGGGGCAATTCCCTTCACTTTGGGGCTTCTCAAGGGTGGGGCTGGAATGGGAAAGAGGCTTACATTAGATGATTTCTTGTCTGACCCTGATGCTCTTAAGATTCGCTCACAAAATATCCCCTTACTGTAAACCATGGTGGTGGGACATGAATTAATTTTCAAGAATTACTGAGTAAAAATTTAGAGAACACTACTGCCCTCTTCCCGCACACACACACCCCCCGCCCCGGGAGAGCCTCAGATCTCTTGGATCTGCTTGACTGTCTTGCCTAGCTTCAGGTCTGGCCAGCTCTGCCCTTTCTTCTCCAGGTTGTTTTTTTGGAGGAGGAGGTTCCTGTTGAGCATACCTCCTAGAGGTTGGTAGCTTATAAAGTACTTTGACATCTCTGTATGTATCATTTTGCCATAGCAAAAAGAGACCAGATCAGGAATTCATACTATAAAAAGAAGAAAAATAGCATTCCTTTGCAAAGCAGAGATTTTCCTAGTTTTAAGCTTTGGGATACATGGTAACCTGTTGGTGTCATCAGGGTAGGTAAAGCAGGTGGTGCTGTCACCATGTCAGCAGGTCTGTCCCTAGAAGAGTGAATCGGGAAGCCCCCACATGCTTCTGACTTCCAAGGTTAGTGCTGCTCCTCCTCTGGCATCCAGTTGTCTTCATTCCAGCCCTAGACTTTTCCCTGGAGGGGGTCGTCTGGCTTTTCCACTGGCCTGTACCCAAACACGGAGTCCTGGTGGCACAGTGGTCACCATGAGTTGGAATCGACGGCAGTGGGTTTGGTTTGGTTTTTGGGTACCCAGACATGTCTTAGTGAGACATCATGCAATCAGCAAGTATCCACTGATAGCCCTGTGACGAACCCCATGTGAAGAGAATGCAAGGGAGAGAGAGCTGAGGGGCCCTGGCCTCGGACAGAGAAAAGGGAGAAGCTTTGTCTCTGGCTGACCCCCTCGTGGAGGTCAATACCCTCTTGCGGCTCTTCGACCCATTCCTGAAAAGCCAAGTGTGTTTGGAATTTCAGGTCAGTCAGTGGTTCCTCGTTTTTGCATAGACTTCCATTCTTATTTTGGAGATGTTTCGATCAGTTGTGATTTGCAAGCATCTGCCCTGCTGAGCACGTTCCCTTTAAATTGCCCTGCCAGCAGGGCCCGTCAGGGTGTAAGCAAACACTTTGGTCTAGCCCAAGAGAGCCCCTATCTAATACCCAGCACGATCCCCTTACATCCGGAGCACTCTTCAAACACTTTTCCTAGCACTTACAGCATCCGTCCTCCTGATGATCTTCACAGTGACCCTGCAAGGGAGACAGAAAGCGGATCGTGATCCCTGTGTTACACATGGTGTCATGGGAGGTCCAGCGAAGTGCCGTGCCTTGCCCAAGGTCACTCTGAATTATAGGTGGTGTTGAAACCAAAACACTGATCTCCTGACCCAGGAGCATGCACAGCTGCTCTTAGGGCAAAGGCAGCGGGGGCAGGGGAGGAAAGGAGGGGCAGGGAGTGAAAGAAAGAACACGGCCTTACTTGATGGCAAACGGTTTACAAGATGTGAACTGTCTCCTTTTGCTCTGCGCTCCCCAAACCCACTGGCCCAGCCCTGAATTTATGTGAAGTAAATATGGCAGTTGGGTCTGGTTCGGGGACAGCTAGGTGGTTGGGATAACTTTCCCTAATGCTCCATGTGTAGGATGCTGGAGACAAGAGGCCCTGGGGATTAGGACCCCACCACCAGACTGGCCTCCTTGCCGCTCAGTTCTGCCAACTGGCCACAAGGGGGCAGCATGAAGCACTCACCCAAGTCTCTGGGAGGTGCCTGGTCTCACCTTCATCCCAGCTTGAGACAATTCTAGGACCTAATGGGGTATGACAAGGAGCTCTAGTGGCACACTGGTTAAGCAGCTCGGCTCCTAATTGAAAGGTCAGCAGTTCAAACCCACCAGCCACTCTGGGAGAAAGATGTGGCAATCTGCTTCGGGAAAGATTATTCTGTCCTATAGGGTCGCTATGAGTTGGAATTGACTTGATGGCAACCAACAACAACGGGGTGTGGCTGTCCCCTTTCTCAACGGGTATTTCATCTTAAGCCCTGTTCCTGATAAGACCCTTGCCCTTTGAAGGGAGGGGCCTTCTAAGGCAACAGTGAGGGCTGGAAACACTACCCTCTTTAGAGTTTTGCATCAGAGTAGGTGGTTAGATTTTAATAAGGACTTTTTGACAACTCAAGTTCATTTAAGGTCCTTCTTATCTCCCCAGATCCATTTCTTTCCACAGTCCTCTTCTCCCCCAGGAGCCCTGGTGGCGCAGTGGCTAAGAGCTCAGCTGCTAACCAAAGTTTCTGCAGTTCAAATCCACCAGCTGCTCCTTGGAAGCCCTTATGGGGCAGTTCTACTCTCTCCTATAGGGTCGCTATAGGACAGCTATGAGTTGGAATTGACTTGATGGCAACGGATTTTCTCCTCCCTCATGCCGTGCACTCTGTTCTCCTGTCACACAATTATTGGTCCTTTAACTCACGTCCAGGAGAGAGATGTGGCAGTCTGCTTCTGTAAAGATTTACAACCTTGGAAACCGTATGGGGCAGTTCTACTCTGTCCTGTAGGGTCACTGTGAGTCAGAATTGACTCGATGGCAGTGGGTTGGGTGTGGTTTGGAACTCATCTCCATGTTTTCAGAATGTGCTGGTCCCTCTGCCTAGAATGTACTTTCACTTCCTTTTCCACTTACTGATCTCCTATATATCCATCAAAGCCCAATTTAAATGGCCTTCTCTCTGAGAAACTTCTAAGTCCTGGGGTAGAGTCAACAAAGACCTTTTCAATGCTTCTACAGCAGCTTCTACAATTTCTATGGTTAGTGTCATGTATATACTGTCATTCAGCAAATACTTCTTCGGCACCTTCTATGGGCATTGCAAATACAGCTGAAAGCACGCCAGATGAGGTCCCTGCTATCATGGAGCTTATATTGGGGGATGAGGTGGGGTGGGAGTAAGAATGGGGGAGATAGACAGTAAACACAAGACCAAGTCAGGTTCTGAAGATAGCACTTATTACTCTGTGTTAGAATTTTCTGTTTCTGACTGTCTTCTTTACAGACTCTTCTCCAGCTCAGAGGCCTCTCTGCACCTCCAGGGCCCTGCATGGGTTATGGCACCAAGAGGGCAATAGTAATTGATGAGTGAATAAATGGCCATGAACCCTTTCCTGTAGCCAAACTGCAAACAGGACCTTGAGCACACTGCACACATTCCCACCTCTGCTCATTTGCTGTCTCCATTACTTTTCTCTTGTTAACAATTTCTTATTGAGCACTGACAAAATGCTAGGCAGGGGTGTTAGAGACACAGAGTATTCTTTTAAGAAAATTCTGTGTAGGAAAATTTATCTAAAGATAGATACCTAAAATCATGATAAATGAAGAAAAGTTTGAAGTTGTCAAGGATTTCATTTTACTTGGATCCACAGTCAACATCCATGGAAGCAGCAGTCAAGACGTCAACGCATTGCACTGGGCAAATCTGCTGCAAAAGACCTCTTTAAAGTGTTCAAAAATAAAGATGCCACTTTGAGGACTAAGGTTCGCCTGACCCAAGCCAAGGTATTTTCAGTCGCCTCATATGCATGTGAAAGCTGGACAATAAATAAGGAAGACCAAAGAATTGATGCCTTTAAGTTATGGTGTTGGCAAAGAATATTGAATATACCATTGACTGCCAGAAGAACAAACAAATCTGTCTTGGAAGAAGTACAGCCAGAATACTCCTTAGAAGCGAGGATGGCGAGACTTTGTCTCACGTACTTTGGACATGTTATTAGGAGGGACCAGTCCCTGGAGAAGGACATCATGCTTGGTAAAGCAGAGGGTCATCCAAAGAGAGGAAGACCCTCAGCGAGATGGACTGACACAGTGGCTGCAACGATGGGC